AGCTCCTGCCAGAGTGTGGACAGGAGCAGGTCTCTCGCTTTGAGTGATCACCTCACCCACACTTTGGAATGACAGAATATGGCAGAAGATTGATGTCAAACGTGTAGGGCAATAGCACTGTTTTGTTAATGTATAAACACAAAACCTACAAAGTTTTAAAAAAGATAAGAAGTTATCCACTTTGCATTCTAAATAAAGTTAAATATTAAATTAGTTAAATATTAGTTAAATATTAAATTAAATTAAACTGTTAAGTTTAGGAAGCTAATATGTCTTAATATTGAATACACTTTATATTTGTACTTTGCATATCCAAAGTAAAATACAAAAACTCTATTTGGACTGACGTTTATCAGTCTTTTACTAATTCAAAACTTTTGATGAATTCATTTGTATATTTTACATTCTATTGTATTGCTCATATTTCTGAGTTAGTGACAAAATCACACACTGTTCTACATGAATGTTATAGAAAATTATCATTTATTATTTGTTTGTATCTACATTTTATGAATGCTATCTTTGTACATATTTCTAGTTGTTTTTCTTTGCAATTTAATTAATAATTTAATATGTATGTATGTATTATTTAAAATGTTCGGGCTCATCTCTCAAAACATAAAAGTCTTCAGTTTCATACATTTACATGCTGTTGTCTTTTTTCAGTTATGTTTACTACATGTGATTTCTTCCTTACATGATTTTTTTTTTTGGTACTGGAAATCAAACTCAAGAGCTCACACTTGACAGGCAGGCACTTGTGCCCCTGAGCTACACCCCAGCACTCTTACATTCATTTTTATGTATGTGTATGAGTTTGAAAGTTTGCTGTTGGTTTTGGGTATGAAACACATCAATAGAATCTGACATTGCAAATAATATATAAATTCAGGAAACTTTATAATTCTAAATAAATTAGGTATATGTTATGTCCTTTATTACACAGGGTACAAAGCATTTATATCATGTTAGTAAGTAAGCATAATACAATCTACTGGCTAGAAGGAACATCTGAACTATTTCCTTTTGCCCACTCATTTCTTATATCACTACACATATCACAAAATGGAAATTATTTCTGAAATAATTGAAGATATCATGCTGTCTCTCTTGCTGTAAGGTCAATGTGCTATGAAATACAATATGATTTTTTAAAAAACTACAATGCTGTGCAACAAATTATGAACACGTTTTTGCATCCGAATAATTAATGAGTAGAAAGTAATACTGCCGTTACATTTACTAAAACAGAGGTCAGTGGAGAGAACACTTATCAGATGGTGCCTGATTACAGGCAGGCTAATCACACCAGCAAACAGCTTTCCTAGCACAATATAATTTTCAGAAATAGACTCGTCTGACATAAAACAGCGTTGATGGCTGTCACTGGTTTTCCTGCTGCTTCATACTTATCCTATTGCTCAGGTTATTTTCAATTTGCCTGCTTTGGGCAAGTAATTCAGTGCCCAGGATGCCCTATCTTTTTCTTCTTAAATACTCTTATTAGCATCTTTCACATGAAAAGAGAGTGCATGCAATCTGTTGTCCATCATTCCAGTGGGAAGGGTAGGTGAGAATTTGCTTTACAAAGGAAAAACTACTACTAATATTTCATTCCTATGAATAATTCTCATAAAATTACTGCACTTATGAAGTAGGCAATTACTCTTATTATCTCTCTTTTTCTAATGTACCTTTAAAGAATTTTGCTTTTTCATCATCAAACTCATTAACAGGAAACTATATTTTACTTTCCATTTTAAGTTTTTTGAAGATTTGGTGATATCTTTATTCTTGATATATTTGCTTTTTTCATGCAGTAATGACCTTTTATTTTAAAATTCATGATATATTAAGGTCACTTTAATATATGAAATAATTTCATGTATTCATAATGATATATGAAATAACTTCTCTTTTGGTGTTGGAGATTGAACTCAGGTGATGGAAAACAGTAAACATGGACTATATAGGTCAACCCTTATTGAACAACCTCCTGCGTGAGAAACTTTGCATAATATAAATCAATCTTCCCCAATTCTTTATTTTCTCATAAATGTTATTATTATATGTGGCTGAAAGTTATAATTGCAATAGTATAAGTTTTCTTTAGTACTTTAAAGTTATTATTATGCAGTGTTTTCACACTGAATTTAAAATTTTTGCATTTAGTATTCCTTCTGTGCACATACTGAGGACTCTTCTAGAGTTGTCCTTCCCAGGATGCTTTGAACTGCATAGCCAATGGCTTCTTCAGTTTCTTATTGCGAAAACAGTATTAACTGTTGATGGCTCAGTTTTCTCAGATTACTTCATAGTGTCCTGAAGTTACTCTAGACTTCTGTTCATTCCTTTTTCTTAATGTTATTTCTCATTAGCGGTTTGTTGTTTCTTTTTCAAGTTCACAATTACTTCCTAATCTGAAGTACCACTTGTAGGATTGCTGATCCTCTTGCAGGATTCTAAGTATCACATTTTCTGTGTGGATACGTGTGTGTGTGTGTGTGTGTGTGTGTGTGTGTGTGTGTGTGTGTGCATGCGAGTGTATTTCCAGTATTATACGGAGTACTTTTCATAACTTCCTATACCTAGGGTAAATGCTCACATATTCATGAATGGTGTTTACTATATCAACTATAACTCTTATTCAAATGACTGATGATGCTGTTAGATAAACACTAACAAGAGTGCATGTAGTTGAACAACATGATTACATTATTTATTCTCATATGTATTTGACGGTGACAAGAGAAGGCTTTCAGAGTAAGGTGAGCTCTCTCAGTGGCAGGCTGCCTGGTTTCTGCATCTGCCCAAGTTTGACTCTAACTACTGCTCTGTATTTCAGCCCCGCCTTACTCTTAATGTTCCCTCCAATAAAGCTTTACCTGGCTCCTGTCAGGATTAGCCAGGAAGCCTGAAGAGGCCTTTGTCTGCCTACAGACCCCTTTCCTCTGCCTGCCAGCCTGTCAGACACATGCACCTGCTTGCTCATTCACTGGGATAATCTCATTATGTTTTTCTCACATTTCATTCAAATTCACTTCCCTTGTTTGTTCCTTCTCTTTTCATAGTCTCTCACATACTCCATCCCTCATTTCTGTTATACAAGAATATTCTCATTAAAGCCTACTGCTCCCCTAGTAGGTCCCAAATTATTACTTCCTCTGTCAGTTCCTGAGGAATGAAACACTTGGAGAATATTTCAAAGAAGTTTTAAATTACACGTGAATTTATGGATTATTTTTCAGATACCGATATACTTGGTGGTTACTCTGTCCTCAGAAACAGTGCTAAGAGCTCAATCTAGTGCCAAATTGGAGAACAAAGGGTTGACTGCATTGTTTCCTGCTGGGACCCTGACAGCCTAAGAAACATCACAATGAATAAGGCACTTCCTCAAAAGGTTTATGCACAATAGGTCTTTCACTCTCCAACCCCAGTGATCCTCAAACTTCAACATATTACACTCACACACATTCTTTCTCTGTCTCTGTCTCTGTCTCTGTCTCTCTGTCTCTCTCTCTGTCTCTCTGTCTCTCTGTCTCTCTCTCTCTCTCTCTGTCTGTCTCTCACAGACACATAAACTCACACACACTAGATTCATCAGAGAGCCAAGAAAACAGATTCCCAATATTTGCAGTTCTCTAAAACCAATTCTACTGATATCACAATTGAAATATCAAAGAATTTGAAACTAGAATACTGAAAACAATCAATTACATTAAAGATGATACAAATAAGGAGCTGAATTAATCAAATAATTTATTATTTAATGAGGTCAAATAAGATACAATAGAGAACTGAATGATTCCAAGAGGAAATCATTATGCAACATATGATACACTGCTGCAGTAGAAAAAGAGAATTAGGGAAAATAAACTAAGAATTCCTAGAAGTCAATGCACAAATAGACTTATTAGAAATACAACTGAAAAAAATTCAACTGAAATTCTCAATTTAAGATGAATCACAAGTAATAGTATCAGAATCATAGGACATACTGGATGCGCTAGATTAATGACACAGAGAATAAAAATGAGAAGTGATGAGAAGTGGAATAGGCCAGAGTAGAATATGAAATTAACATTTCAGATGTATAATAATGTTACCTAATATATATTTTAAAAGTAATTCAGAAAATCATGTTGCATTCACCTATTAAAGGGGAAAACTCACTTTACTGATGCAATATGAAAGAATAAGAGAAAACCAACTAAAATACAAAAGTGAAAAGTAAAGTGACACCCTCAGAGTAAATGGAATTGTATTTTAGCACTGTGAAGCACACGGAATTTAAGAAAGGGAGCTAGTAAAATTAGCAGTAGAGATAAAAATAAATTCAATCAATAAAATTAGAATAATAAAATGTTCAAATATTGGAATTGAGTACTATTTTTCACATATTCCATATCATTTATCAAACAGTGAAAGAGATTACAAGTTATATACTGCAAAGGAATGATAAAGGTGTATTTTGATATATATGCTATCACAGCTGAGTTAATAGCTATCCACATGCATGTATCAAATTAACACAGTCTAGTAAATTCACACAAATATGGTCACTTCATCTATGTAACCTGTACTTTAGTTAATCTTTGAATAATAATGGTTGAGATCTGGAATACCCTCTTAACATCTCTTACACTTATAGGCTGGGCTTTTAGAATGTGAGGAAATCACAGAGATACTTATAGCTAGGAGCCTGACCACTGGGCCCATGAACCTGGGGGAATGGATGTCTCTCTCTGGCTCCTCCCTTCTCCCCCTGCTTCCTGGTCTTCATGAGGAGAGCAGCCTTTCTTCCACGATGCCCTCCATTACCCTGTTTCTAGCTTGCAACCAGCTCACCAGGGACTGACACTGTGAAACATAGCAAACTTTACCACTTCTCTGCTGTCAACTGCTTTGTCCCAGTCACAAGGAAAGAAAGTCATGCATAGGAAGTAAGCACCAACTGTCTTCTGGCAAACACAAAGCAGAAAAAATACTGAACTTACATTTGCAGAGGTAGACATGGGTCTCCTAGTTGTGCCTGTGTGTTCCTTCTCCTGACGGTTAAGATAACCTGAAGGAAGGACAAGCAGGAGTCTAACACTAGAAGATAAATGTTTGCCACGTTCAACATTTGGTTCATTCTATTTTATGAAGAGGAAAGGAATTTCATAAAATACATGTGCTAGAATACACACATGTACACACACCCTGCACACACACACACACACACACACACACACACACCGTACACACACAAATACACATGGACATTGTTCATACCCTTGACGATCACGGTGGTCATCACAATTTGATGAAAGGATAAACTGTAAGTTTTGGCTATCTTCCATTTTGTTCTCTGAGATTTCACCATAAAGAGTATCAGGGAAGTTACTGTATTCAGACTGAGGGATTCAAAGAGAATCCTGAGCTGTGCATCATTCTCCTGTTCCTTTTACCAGCAATTTATCCCTTGATTCATGGACATTTAACACTCACTTCATCCATCGCTGGCAACTGCAAACTGAAAATCATGTGTGTGTGTTTTTCTTTTGCTTGTCAGTAGCTGCATGCTATTTCTCTGTCACTGTCAAACATGCTCTGGCTCTCCTATTCCTTCCATATAGACTTGAAAACTCAAGCCACAGAAACCTGCAATGCTTTCTTATGTTTTTATTTCCACCAAAAAAATATTTTGCTGGCCCCGTTAAATAACTCTGTTACACACAATTGTTCCTACACACTTTCTCAACATTCTGCCGTTTCTTCAGATGTCAGCCAGGAAGAACATTAGCTACACAAAACTGCAAATATTAAGGTTTTTTTCTTTTTTCTCTTACTCAAACCCTGACTTTGGATTTCATCGCAGGGCCTTAGTGAGTGATGTACTGTGGAAATGAAATCGTTTTTCCCAGGAGGTTAGAGATAATCTGCAATGCATCAGTGCCATGAGATAAGCATTGAATATCTTTGAAGTTATGAGTATACGTTCATCTGAAACTTTAATGCATCTACTTGGTGCTCATACACCTCCTTCACCACATATCTCAAACCTGTTCTTGATTGCATGGTTTCGGGCCTAGGACTTAGCTCAATGGCATAAGTGCCTGCCCTTGCAAGCATGCAGGCATGAGTTTAATCACAGTACCAAAAAAAAAAAAAAAAAGAATGGATTTTGATTTCATGATTTCTTTTCTTATTATTGAGTTTTTAAATTTCTTTGTGTATTATGGATATAATTTCTTTATCAGAAATAAATTCTTCCAATAATTTCCCCCTGCAATTATCTTCATTCTGTTTCCTGATTGCCCTAATGTATGAAATGATCTGCACATTCACAGCAGGAGAAAGAACTGAACAGTAGCTAATATAAGTATTTAATAAACTCCTGGGATAAGTTTTGTATTACTGGGATCCCATTCTTTGCTGTGATTGATTATATTCTATGTGGAAATTCAAACCAAGATACAAGACTTTCACCACTTTTAAATCCCTGGATTTAGGGGAATATCTTTGACAAATGGCTGCAACCCTAAGAAAAAAACAAGCAATAAACCAATTTAGGCAGATGCACCTTTTCTCTCTGGAAGTTTAGGGAGCAGATGCTGTTTCCTTGCGTTTTGTTTTGTCTGGGTTTGACTTTGTTTGTTTACACTGATTACACTCACTCGTGCAATTCAGTACATATTCATCCAACCAATGAAAAGACACACACATATGCTCCTGCTGTGTAACCCCTGAGTTGTACAGTGCTTTCTCTTTCCCTCCCTAGTGGATCCATGACTCTTAATTGTGGACTGAGTTGAGCTATAGCTGCTCAGTTATGCAACAGAATTACCTAAGAAATATCTACATTGTTCACTTCCAAGCCTTCAAAGATCAGAGAAACTAAAAGGCTATTTCCCTGGCCATAACAGACAGAATGGGAAAAAGAAAATTGCATGAAATTTGAATTTCCTTTTACCAAATCAAACATATGCAGAAGGCAACAAAGTGAAATGGACCCTGTAAGTCAGACCCAGGTCTGCTACTCAATGGCTGTTGACTTCATGGAACTTACTACATATCCAGTGTTGTTTTCAGATGTAAGAAAGAGTTAATGATGCATAGCGGCTTTTCAGAGTTGCTGAGAGAATGAATTTATGTAATGCATTTAAATAACTAGATGAATTATACAATATAATAAATGCTGAGTTATCCTTGGTCTTTTAAAAATTACTTTTTCATTCCCTATTCTTATATTTCTGCCCCTCTGCAATGAACGTTTTACATCTTCTACTGGTGCATAAAATGTATTACACTTTGAGATCTCTGAGTCATTCATTTTCTTCTCTCTCCTGATATATGATAATTAATTGTTTACATGATCTACATTTATGTTTATATGTTTTACACAAGTAGAAGGAGCACTCAAAACCACTCTTACTCACCAATACCTGGATAAATGCCCAACCAGCTCCAACCAACACCTGATAGCATATGATGAATGACAGCAGAACAGTGGGGTCTTTGGAGAAGCGGAACGCAGCATTCCTAGGAAGCTCAGCTCTTCTTCTACAGTGCATGGACACCTGGAGAAGCCACACAGCCATCACATTCACCAGAACTGTGGGCAGGAGAAGGATCTTTGAGAATCACCCTGAACAAAATCCTCATTTACTTCTACATATAAAATCCCAATGGCCTGGTTGTTTAGCTCTGATTTAAATGTTTCCAGTGACACCGATTTACTGCCCTCAGTAGTAACCCAAACCCAGATCTGTATACACATGGATGAACTAAAGAAGAACTAACCCTATTATAAAAACTTCTAACAGGTTTATGCATTCATCCAAATGAGAGAATATTTTATTGCTAAATGAATTAACAAAAAGGTCAAAACAAAATGAAAAAATAAGATATTGGGTAGTATGTTAGAAAGATTTGCATAAATTTCTGCATATTTATAGAATATTTTACTGATGAAAACATAAATCAACAAGAATTACATGTGATAGTTATGTCTTATATGAGAAAACTGAGTGAGCTGCATAAAACTAGAATTCATTGAAAAACATGCATACAGTCATTTTCAAAGGTATAAACACAATTTAATGCTAACATGAATAAAAGATAGATTAATCTAAATATAAATAGAGTGTCACTCTATTAAATATCTGTAATAATATTTCTAATTCAAGTTAAAAAATAAAATGCTATTATTTTTCACAAGTACAAATTGCATAAAATTTCCTTAGATTTTAAAATGTCACTAGTTGTGTGAGAACCTGACATAAACAATTTGAAAGACAAAAAGCTTATTTTGGTTCACAATCCACAGGTTGCAGTCCATGGCCTACCTTTTCTCACTTTAGACCTGCAGGAAGTCAGAAAGAGCAGAAAAGGCCAGGAAGAGGAAAGTGTCTCAGCATGGCAACCAGGCACCAAAGAAGAGTCCAGGAGTCAGACAGGAAAAATTCGGGGAACACATATATGCCTCATGTTCACCCCCATGACCCAATAAGGCTATTGCCTTTATCCATCACCTGCCTATAATGACATCCACCTATTCTTGCTGCCTTGATTATCTGATCATTTTCCAAAAACCCCATCGACTCTCAACAAAACCTTTAGTTTTATGGAACATTTCACTTTCCTACCATGACACTCCCATAGTTGCAATCATAGATAATATCACTGTATCTGAATGGCTTAAACAAACATCACCTTATCTAAAGGAAAACCATGATCAGGTAAACTCAGATGGTTTTCCACAGGCTCACTGCTACCTGATTGCAGGTTCTGCAATGTGTAACAAATATATCATGCTATATGGTTTGGATACCAATGATAATGTGCTCAAATTCCTGATGCCATCACTGAGATGGTCACGGGGGTGAATTAGTTCCCATTTCATTATGTCCTCTAAAGCACAGGCATCCATCACATTCTTTAAATTCTCACAGATTTTTAAGACTACATCTTAGCAGTTTTCAAGGTTTGATCTAAATGGAAAATAACTTCCCCAAAACCTCATTCCACTCATAAAATTGAACCAACTGAAAGGGTTGGATTCTCCAGCAGGTGGGGGGCTCTCTCCTCCTGCTATGGGAAACCTTGTGCTTACTCATGTTTTACTGTTTTCCTTGATATCTGCTTCTCTGAGTCACTTAACAATAGCACCTTCCTTACTGCCCAAGTCCTAGAAGACACAACAGAAAAGCTCACCACTACCATTTTCTGCACACTGCTGCTCATACCTCATTTTTTTTGCAAATGTGTATTTCTGAAAAAGGTTTAAATTTTCAGAGTTTTGCTCGTTTCATCTTTAAATTATTATGGTACTTTTCATTCTGTAAACTATTTCTGCCTCTAGAGCTTCCTTTATATACAGTACAAAAGTACTCTTAAAACATACAGGACAAAAAGAATATTTTCCTAAAATATTTGTGCAGGCTTCAATATTATCTCAGGAGTACAGATGTAGGACATTTTCCATAATAATATCTAGCTACCAAAAAGGCTTTTCATTTATTGAGTTGCTCTCCTACATGATATCACATTTTTCCTCGAATCAAGTGGCACATCTTACCCACTGATATCTGTGGATCTTCTTTACTAAATGTAATACTTCGTATGCTCACAGTCTTTCTCTTTAACTCTGTTTCAACTGATATCAATACAGCCGTTACAGCACTTCTAATTATGGTATTTGCATTGTGATTCTTACTCCTTTTTGGAATGTTTCCACATTGATTTACTGTTTTTAAATTTTCATGTACATATGAAGTTCATCTCTTTTAGAAAGTACTTGGCTTGGAATGGCTCTTCTATCCAGTTGGATAATGTCCTTAACTGAATGCTACATCCTTTACATCCAGGAAAATTCTTTGTTTTTATGGTTTCATTTTGTTGTTGTTGTTGTTTTTCACATCTGTTCTTTTTCTGCATAAACCTCATCTTCCCAGTACACCGACCCCTATATATAACCCAACAATTATCAGGAACTAACCCTCCCCAAAGATTCATCCTATTAGAAAATAATCCTAACTCTAACATAACACTAACCCTAACTTTATAACCCTAAGACTCTGACTATAACACTAAAACTAAGCAATGAGCTAAGCATAAATGAGCAGTAACCCCAAACCTATTACTCATGCTCCCCTACCCTAACACTGACAATACCCTACAATAACACTGACAACATCACCCACTCTGATTCCTAATCCCACCCCTCACTCTAAAACAAAAGAGATGAAAACTAACCATAGTCCTCCACCATTCATCCTATCCCTAACTCTGCTTCTATAAACACAGATTAAACTCAACCAATGTCAAAACCTAAACACTAAACTTTACCTTAACCCTAACTTGAACCCTAAATATGACCCCAGCTCTGACACTGATATTATCCCAACTGGACCTGTATCCTGCAGTATTAATCATAAATGTAACCCTAACCTTAACTCCCAACTGGAAACTCACACTGATCCCCAAGACTAATCACTAAAACCTGCCCTAATTCCTAATCTGAACCCGAACTCTGTTTTTGAAATCTAATCCTAACCACTAACCACTGCCCCTAACACTATATTTAATACCTTTAGCACTTACTGTAGCCCTAAACGTGGGCCTAAGCTAGCCCTCATTCCAATCCCAAAGCTGACTCTGCACCATACACCTCCTTTACTTATTCCCCCAAACAAAACTGAACCCTTAAAAAACCATTAGCTCAAATAAACATCTCCTCATAAATTGGGACTGTTGCTTATTTATTCTCAATAACAAGAAAATGTCCCACATCCCCCTTAGATCTTTATCTCCCTAAACCCAAACCCTAAACTCAATTACAATGCTAATCCCTACCCAAATCCTGAGTAACAGAAAGAGCCAAGGTTTATAGCAGCATGGTCTTAAGAGCAAAATCAAGGAAGCCATCTGTGTATCCACTGGTGACTGTGTAAAGAAAATGTACTATCTACACATAACGGAAAATAAAGAGAATAAAGATATGCCATGTGCAGGAATTTAATCTGCTAAGTGAATGTGAGCACTGTGTGTTTTATGCATGAGATGAGTTTAATAACATTAATGAAATCAAGCAAAAGGGATTTAGAAGAGGAAGAGGGAAGGGGATTACAAAACAACTCTACGGTGAATGTGCACCTACTCCCCACTGTGTGTAACTACAGCTACTGCAAGGATGTACTAAGAAGGAAATACTTTTCAAAAACCTGGAACCTAATTTCTAACACTTCATCTCTCATTCTCAGCCATAACACAGTGCAAATCTCATGTTAAACCTCCACTACATCCCAACAAACCTCAACCCAAACGCCATCTTGTTCCCTCACCCTAACATTCATCCCCTTCCTCATCCTAACTGTAATGGAATTTTGAAGAAATGACCTCATGACCTCGGTGATAGAACCCAACAAGGCTTGGAACTCTGGTAACCAAGCCTCCACACTTTTGAATCTATCTCCTGCCCTGATCACTTGGAGGGAGACATTCAAGAGTAGAAGATGAGCTTTTGCTGTTTTCCTGGTTTCCAAAGTTCTAGCCGCAAAAGGCACAGGAACCAGAGCCTTTTCAGATCTTGGTTCCCACCTCACTGTGGATGTTTCAAGCTAATGTTCAGGAGGAGCCGACAAGTAAGAGAGATAACCCCATGCCAATGCCAGCCTCTTAAGGGCAGTCATTCACCAATGGATTTGGGGGGATGTGCAGGGGTTGACCCAAACAGGGGGAGATTTAAAGTGTCCCAACTTTGACCTGTCCACTTCCTATTTCCTACTTCATGGTTGGAAGTATGACAGGCATCGAAGGTCTATAGTTACGGGATTATTGGGGATCAGTTTATCTGATGGGAGGTTAATCAACTGATTCAAGCTGTCCTCTCGCACCTCTCTGTCTCAAGATTATACATATACCGCCCTATGCCGCCTAACGTGGAGAGATTTTTCTATGAGGGGGCTGTGTGGGGATGGCCAGGAGGAGTGAATGATAACTTGTGGCTCAAATGTCAGGTACTCTCTTGGCAGAGCTCTGTGCAGATCATCAGCACACCATGTGGCAACTCGGTCTCCATCAACCCAGAGCAGGAGCATGAAAACTCCAACAGTGGCCAGTGCTGGTCTAGGGTGCAAGTGAGCACACAAGGGTCTGTACAGGTGAGAACTCATGCTGACCAGCACTAAGATCAAAGAAAGATAACTTCCCCGGGTCATGGCTTAGGGCTTGACCATAGAAATGACCTGTAGTCCCATTGCCAAAGGAATCTGGTCTTCCTTATAACCCTTGTTCACTTAAATAGGTATAAAGTTTCATATCATGCATTTGTAGAATCAGAGCAAGTATGTTCTGAATCATTTCCCTCTAAATCAAGATATGGACAACTTGGTTTGATGTAGTGTTTACTTAACTGCTCCAAGTATCCCATGTGCAATCAACTCCAATACCTTTCTGGGCCTTCTACACATCCAAACTCTTACCAGGAGGGTTCCACAAACAAATGAGTTATGTACACTCACAAAAATATAAACTTTGCTAAGCTGCTCTGCACATTTCTCAATAGTGTCACATCAAGAACATGTCACTCAATTCCCAGTACCAAAAAAAGAA